CATATGTTACACGGTAAAGCTTAAATTTTTTTTGTTTAATAAGAAACCTTTTGTACGAATACATTTTTCAGTGCTACATCAACCAACAAAAATAATATTTAATTTTCAGTTTTATGGGCTGAAGTTATTGAGCCAGCCAATTTCGAATGTCTGTGGATAGTTGTCTCATTGATCATAAACAGAGTTAGTCTCACAGAATTTCTTTCTTTAAATCTATCTCAAAAAGAAAGAATAATGAAAAAATAAATATGTCTTCATTTCATAGGAAATCAGGAAATTTATTCTCAACAAAAATAAGCTCCCTCAAAGAATTATGTTCTAGTGTTTATGTCCTTAGTTATATGAGTGTAGAAGTAAAAAAAATTTCCAACATGTGATTAAACATTCTTCTGACACCTGATTTAAATTTGAATTTCAATAATTTTTCAAATACGTGCAAAAAATGAGCTCTGTACACTAGTCATTCTAGTGGTTCAAATGAAAACAGGTTTTTACGTTGTATTGTAGTTCTAGGAATTGGCTAAGTTGGCGATTTCCGGGCATCATCCCTTGAGAAACTTTAAATAAAAAAAACAACGCAGATAGGGATCAACTTAAAGGGTATAACTCGTAGCCAACACCAGGCAAGCCTCTACATGTTTTTATCTAATATATATGATTTATTATCTAATATAATATTGGCTGTATTTCTTTTCCTCCTGTGGCAACGTTTGCTTTGTTTTGTTTGCGTTACTATTTCCCTTACATGGCGAATCGACCAATGATTGCCGCTAAAAGTTTCGCATGCCAAATCTAGAAGAGGTGGCTCAACATATAGCGCTTTTAAAAACGGAAACTGAAATAACCAGAGAGCATCAACTGCGGCGAACTCATACTATTAAGCTAGGCAGAAGTGAACAGTCTTTGTCGATAGATCTCTATTTTAAAATTTTGTTGAAAGCGCTTTTTTTCACGAATTTATTTGACGAATTACGAATTTATTTATTACGAATTTATATTACGAATTTATTTGACGATTTTTGATTTATATCACGAATTATGCTACAGCACATTTCTAATAGGTTTAACGAATTACATGTCATTTATTTGAATTCAAATTTATTTTAATGACTTAGTATTTACTAAAAAGATGTAATTCTTTTTTTAAAAAATAGTTTTTATATGGATTTGAAGGATTGTTTTGAATTCCTAGAATTTTGTGCATTTGCAATGTACCGAAGTTAGCGAATTAGTACCTAATTTTGCAATGTACCTAAGTTAGAATTTTGTGCATTTGCAATGTAGTTTGCGAAGCAAACCATATAAGATTGCGTAGCAATTTTCGAGGGTCGGCGAGCGTTAGCGAGCAGGGGGAGCAGCCCTCTAGTTATTATTATAATTTATTTAAGTATTTTTTTTCCTTTTTTTTGAATTTGCAATTTTAAAATCTATTTGTCGTCTTGGCGATTCTAGTTACGCCGACAGATCATGCTACGAAAATGTCATGAATTTTATTAGTTCATTTAACTATCCATTCTCCCTTAACAGACAACTGCTTTCATTCACTCTTACAAGGCAAGAATTACCTGCTTTCATAGCGTTAGAAGCTTAACTCGTGGTTATTGACAATAAATACACAATATAAATTTTTGAAAACAAAAAAAAAATAATTCAACATGTTTGATCAATTTAAGTTGATAGTGCCAATGCAAACCAGTTTTCAACATGTCAAAAGGCTTTTAATCAATTAAAGTGAATGAAATGAGCCTGTGATTTAAAATAGTTCACTATTAAAAAAATAAATGGAAAAGTGGTTGTGAAAGCTCCTTTTACAAAACAAATTTTGTTACAAGACATTTTTTTCAACTTTCCCTCCTGCTAACTATCATTTAGGAAGTGGCAAATACATTGACTGAAAAAAATCGGACCAAGAAGAAGGAGTTGCGCTAGATAAACTAAGTTTTGTAGGCTTGTCTATACAAAAAAAAGAAGATTTCTATTCAAATCCCGTGCTTGTGCATAAGTTTGGCGTTTCCGGCGCCACCATTGCCTGATCTAGAATTACGGGGGATATACGCAAGAACTTTCAGGGGTCTCCAGGTCTTTACTTTAAACTAAATTTACTTATTGTTTAATTAAGTATTTTGAAATTAGTTATACCATTAGTAAATAACGATATATTGGTGAATTTGAGCTCTTATTTATGTCAATATTTGTTAATTCATAATTCTAACAGACAATTTTTAAGGAAAAACACAAAGATAAACAATCTGTAACGTTTTGTAGGCCCCCGGATTCTAGGCCTGGGCTAGTCAGGCCTTATGATAAATTAGGCCCTGAGAGCCGCTGTGAACATTCAAATTACGAAAGCTTTAAATACGTGTTCTGCAGTCTGCAAGCGTTATTTTTCGTAAAATGTTGACATAGTGCGTTGCTGTTAGTCAATAATGTCTTTAAAAAGAAGGAAAAGCCATTATCAACAGCTCACTGGTATTGAGCGTGGCAACGAGAAAGAGGATTTTCTTTCCGTGATATTGCAGAAAGACAGGTGAATGATTTTTATAAACGTCGTTGAGCACCCTACAAAATCTTTTGGGTTTACGACTACTAATGTTCAACTCTATAGCCTTGTAATTTTGAACTCAATCCGGGGATCTTCTGGATCAAGTATTTGGAGAAATATCCTTCGTGATAAACATTTTGATGAAACTAACTCGCATTTTGCAATACATGAAGAGGAAAACCTCCCATGGTTAGTCTGACGGCAAGGGGACTCTAACCCATGATCCCTCTACCACTGAGGATATTTTACGTCAGCACTGTGGTCGGTGCGAGCCGGGAGTGCAATTTGTATCTACCAGCCTTCGCTGGGATTTGAACCCGGTTCACTTCATTGGAAAGCAAACTCTCTATACCCTGAGCCACCACAGATCCACTGTGCATGATTACATGTTGACAGCACTGGGCTGCCACGTGACACTATTCAGAGGGAAGACCACCGTGTACGGCGCATGGCTGTGGCTCACCGTTCTGTGTCTCATTATGAGTTTTATATTTATAATTATATTTAAAATATATATTTATAATTTATTTAAAACTTGTGAAAAAAATACAGAAAATAAAATTTTAAAAAAAACCCCAGAAAAACAAGATTTTATCTGAAGAATCGAGGTTTTAAGTTCCTCACTCTGGTTTAAGCCAACTTCAGAGTAAGTATAACTTAGAGCAGGCTGAACTATATCTTTAGAACCGGGTTTTTCTTAAAACTTCGTTTCTGCAATGCAGCTCGGTTTATCTTCGTAGTTTAGACAAGGTTCAAAGTTAAATTTCGTTCTGACCGTTCAGCTTTTTGTAAATCTGGTGTTACTCGGAAATACGGTTGACGACAATTGACCATTGACGTTAATATTTCTATAAATCCTGATTGTAACGGAAGCTTGCATTGTAGCATAATTCTTTCTAGTAAGTATTAAAGGCTTCAACTGTCCGGAAAGTGGTCGAAATTCGACTTTATCACATACACTGCAATAAACTAAAAAAAATATAATAAAATTTTTCTAAAAAGAAAAATAACTAATTAAAAACAATTTATTAAATTTTTTAAATTCTTAATTATAATATAATTTTGCTCAAAATGTTGTTACAAATCACAAATAATTGTATTAAAAAATTGAATTATAGGATTCCTTTTCGATTCAGATAAATAATCAAATGTAACTGCGCGTGAATATAAGATTACTTCTTCCAACATAAGACTAGTAAATAAAAAAAAAACATAAGGCTACTTCTTAAAATCATTAGCACATTAAAATGCAACTAATCTAGTGCTGTCATTTGAACATTCTTAATAAAACTTTCTCCAATCGTCTATCAGAACTTTTTTTTATTACTCTTTATTTTGAAAAGTCTGAAAGCTATAGAAAAAGGTTGTGTCACATTGCACAGTTTACACGATAAAAGTTCAAAAACGGACATAGTTAAAACAAATTTTTGTTTTCAAATGTATCTATTGAAAGTTTTTGCAACAAGATGTGTCCTATCACTAGACTATTTCCTAAATTTCTCTAAAAAAATAATTTTGATCTAAATTTTATCTTAATTCTTACAAATGCTTAAACATAGATCAATGCTCTGCTCCCTCCTTTTGAAAACTTCATTAAAGAATCTGTAAAATTCGTGGGTGTGTTTGGATGCAGCTATAAAGGCAGATGATCTCTCAATTCTATAAATTACTTTAACTAACTTCACAGTCAGTTAATTTCCCTACTTAACATTTTTTCCATTTTTTTGCATCTAGTTACTTAGTGTGTATAGTTAAAATGCGAATTTTAATGAGAGATTTGGATTTCTGTCTTTAATGTCATACTTTTTAGATTTACAAAGGAGATGTGCAAGTAAAAGGCAGCTGTTGCCCAACGATAATCGCATGCAATGTCAAAAACATGAAGTTGGTCTCAAAATAAGAGAATCTTATACTGAGAAGAAGAAAAAATATGGTTCAAACTACGCAAAATATATTAAAATTTACCGTGTTCCTGGCTCTATGGAAACGTCAAAATCTTGGTCATTTCATGGAGGTGCTTAGCTAATGCTTTTGGTAAAATTGATAATAAAATAGGTTTTTTTTTAAAGTTTTTAACCCCATAAATGTTTTTTTTTTCATTGTATGTTTGGTAGTTTATAAGGTAAAATTTAGTAGTTTTATCAGTATACCTTAAAGCATGGTATAAAAATTTATTTATTCAGTTAAATTTACTTTTCCGTTTTGTAATTATTACTTAATATGTGATAATGTGTCGTGATAGATTCATCAGTTTGAAAATTCACAAAAGTCACAGAATTCGAATTAAATTGAATGATACTGATTTCTTTTTCTTTCAAGAGATTAAACGAAAATACAGGATTAAGAATTATTTAAATTGAACTATGCAAGTTATTACTTTCTTTTAATGTGATAGTTTGACTACTTTCAAGTAGGATTATTTTCTATATGATGAAAAATTATAAATTTTATTTTGCAGCTTCATTGAAAACCAGCCAAATTTTCATGTTCTAAGTGAAGATCATTTGAAGTACTATCCAAACTTAGAAAAACTGTGAGTATTTTTTTTTTCATGTTTAATAAAAGTGTTCATTCTTAATACAGGGTTATTCATAATTCCCTCCGGAGTTTCGAAACGTTATAGTAAGAAAACGAAGACGAATGTGGCAAAAAAGAACATAAGAAATTATTCCGAAAGTATTCAAGTTTTAATTTAAGCACTTGCCGGTAGATGGTAGTAACATGTACCACTGAAGCCAGTTGTAGTAAAGAAAAGTGGCGTTTACAGGCGGAGGGAATTATGAAGGACGATTACGGAGGGACGATTTAAGTGGTCTTCTTCTCCACCATATCAGTCAGTATTATTTTGCAGCTACAATCCAAATCTTTACATTCTAAGTGAAGGTCATTTGAAGTATTATCCAAACTTAGAAAAACTTGCGAGTATTTTTTTTTTCTCCTCATTTAAAAAAGTGTTTATTCTTTATATTTAATTCTTCCTTTCATATCTCACTCTTTAGATTAAAGTTCTTCGTATCCACCGTAAAATTTTCTTTTAACAGTAACCTAAAAGAGAGTAGTTTTTATTAATTAAAAAAATTCAATAATTTGAAGAAAAAAACTTATTATTTTAAGAATGCTTTCACGCCGGTTAATATTAATGCTAAACGTAAGAGCTAAGCCTAACCAATGGGTCAGTTAGAGAATATGGCGGACTTCTTTTCTATCGTTTAGATCGTTTCGCTTCAGCAATCCAGTTATTCATTGAGATTATTCGTTGTAACATGTTGTAAATGGCGTTTTGAAAAAACGTAATTTGTACTTAGCATTAATGTAATAAAACGCTACGATTTTGTTCTGGCGTTTAATATCAACTTTTTGGTCAATGTACTAAATTGCATATAGGTCATTTTCTTATAACATGTAATTTTGGAGAATTAATTTTTTGTTTTCTAAATAAATAAAAAAATCCTGTGCTTTAGTGATTGACACTCAGAATAATTATATACTATAATAAAAATTTTTCATCCTTATAATAGATAAAATTATTTCATTCAAATTTTAAGAAAGCAGTGAATAATAAATGAAGATAGGAAATGAATATCATGTATGCAAGGATATTGACATGTTTAAGCAAACTTTTGAAACTGAACCTATGTTTTAAAATTAACTTTATATTTTAGACAAGGTATGTAATAATACACATGTAAATAATACATTTATTCAATACATATTTCACAAAATTGCTACGAAATTGTGCCAATAATGTTACTTTTTTTAATACATAAAATGCAATATTCATTGAAATATCTACTTAAGAAAAGATTCGAAAAAGAAAGAAAAACGACAACACATACATATTAAATATTTTGATTATATTATAAGAAACATTTCTGAAAAACAAAAACTTCTGATATGAAAAATCATTAGAATAAATAGTTGTTTTTTGAGAACTAAAGAAACGCTTATTCTTTCTAATACTATATTCCTAATCTAAATTATTCTATTCCTAATTAAAATTATACTGCTTCCTAAACATAAATAAGTATTAACCAATATTTTTACAATTTCTGTCATTCCCCTGTCTCTGTTGTCATTCACCAGTCTTCAATACTGACAGGGGAATGGCGACAAGGGAATGACAAAAACTTGAATTAGTTTATATAGCACAATGGAATTACAGAGTAGCTGCATTAATTTTTTTAATATAAATAAAAAACTGTATCACAGATTACTCAATGATTATTTAAGTTGTACTGAAAAAATCAATAAGTGCATAAGAGACCGGTAATAACAGCTAAATGAAATACTCACCAAAATATTTGAAGAATCCTTCAATCTTAACTAAACCATGTTTGTTAAATGAAATCAAAAGTAATACAAAATGGCTATCCTGATTGCCAGTCTCTAAAGTGTAAACTATAAAATAATGACACGGTTCACTGATTTAAGAATTACATTATTTTCTTCTTGTCAGGGGAATGACTCAAATACTAATGGATAAAGTTTCTCGGCATTAGAAAATTTTTTTAAACTGAGTTTCATTATGATTATTAGTATCTATACTTAAGCATAGCACTCTGTTGGTAATTATAATGAAGATGTAAAAAAAAAAAACTATATTTTCAAGTTCCTAATTTTTTTTTCTTTTTGTAAGTAGAGACAGAGACACACAGGGGAATGACATTTTGAAGGAAAATAAATTAATTAGAAATACTTTTTATCGATGAAAGCATTTTATTTTGTGATATAATTACTCACAACAATTAATTAATTTTTCTCACCTTTGATATTTTGTTTTCTTAATGGGTTTCACCAAACATTTTTAGAGAACAAAAAAGTAAATGCTAAGGGAAATTGCCCCGTATACTAATATGTTTCTTTTTTTTAAAAAAACGGGTAAGAAGATGAAATTTTTTTTTCTAGAAATAGTCAACAGTATTTTCTCTTAGCATTTTTTAAAATTTTATTTTAAAGTGGTCGACAAACTGATTAAAGTATTTTTTAATGAGCACTCTAATTTTCCTTTTTTAAGTTAATTAGAAACGAATTTTTAAAAGATTTGAAATAGTTTCATTAAATGAGCAAATTAGAGAAACCAGAAAATTTAGTTCAGATATGGTATTCTTTATGTGAAAGGGATAACGGAATTGGTATTGTTTACCTGCACTAAAGTCACGTACAAAGCGTTTGTTTTCGTGTTTATAAAAACTGGCAGCCAATAAAATTTTAAGCTTTTGCCATTAAGATCAGAAGTTGAAATTATTGTATTTCAATATTTGTAAAATAAATATTTTGGCTGTGGTAAAAATCTTCTTCGATAAAAACTTAAATTGAATCGTTCATAATTCATTCGAGTGTTTTTTTTGACATAATTGAAGCACGTACACTACTCAGTTAGGAATCAATGTAGTAAAAAAAATAAATTTAAAAAAATTTCCTTACTTATCTTTGGGAAAAACATGCATAAAAATGAAATTCTACTTTTTTTCTCTTGGTCTGTAATTGAAAATACGTGTGCTATAATTATAAACACTCTTGAAAAATTGTAGACAATTATTTAAAAGACATGGCAGTGTCTAGGGTGGTGTAAAATATATTTAAAAAAAACTGATTTTGAGATAAACGCATTTAAATACTTAAAATCATTAGTCTATCCACTATTATCACATTGAGCAAAAACTGCTATAACTTTATAAGCAATTGGAGAACAAACAAAAGTAAAGTATTATTTTTAGAGAGATTAGAGTACAAAAATTGTAAATTTATAATTTATTAAATTTCGAAAAATTTGCCCCAAATCATGCTTTAGCTCTTAGTTAAGATACCTTAAAAGATATATTTTTAATAAATCATTTATAAGGTATTTAATTTTGTTGAAGCAGCGGGTCACGGAGGTGACAAAAAATACTGCATATTTTATTAAATTTAAAATATTAAGGAAAAGAAGTACTGGAATTGCTCTCGTAATCTTGAATTTAAGCAAAAATTTTCTTGATATTCGTTTTTGTTTCACGAAAATCTCTATATTTTATTATCTACCTGTATAGAGGCATTTCTTACTATCCTTACTCTACACTCAGCAATGTCTTGATTTATGCACTTTCCAGTTTATGATAAATAGTTTTTTTTTTAAACTTTATTTATTTTCCAAAACGAAATTTTTTGCTGAGATTTTTTCTTGGGTGCATGCGAAAATTTATATTACATACCATCAAAATTCAAAAACAAGCTTTTTCTGTAAACAAACTGAATACGAAGACAAATTGATTTACAGTGATGTGAAAAGGAGTGTATCTAGAAACGAATGCCAATTTCTAAAAATGTTTAAACCCAACTTCGAATTTTGGAAGTTTCTGACTTTCGAATGATGCAGACGCAAGCACTCAATTTGATAAATAAATAAAAATTGGAATAAAATAATAAGATAAAAACAAAATTAAAAATAATTAATTAATCAAATAACTAGCAAATAAATGAAATGTTTAAATTTTCGAAAAAAATACTTATAAAAACATATGTTTGCATCCAACTACGATTACTATATTTGCTTGTTTGCAACATTGTAAATCAAAACTTAGAATTTTTATGACTTTTCAATAAGTTTGTTTTCATTCCTAAATTGAATATCATGTTCGATTTTATAAAAAATTTCCCATATAATTTATAAACAAATTTATATAAATACTGATCATTTTTATTCTGATAAAAGAATTAAACTCAACTTACATTTTAATTAATTAAAAGAACGAAGAAATATTTTTTATGCAAAAGTTTCATTAAAAAATCCTTATGATTTTATTATACTCAGTAACAAAAACCATAATAAAAATATATTTTTAAGAAGGGAATTATTTTTTAAACTCAATTTAATGCATGAGTGTGTTAGGCATACTTTATGCAGTTTTATTTATTTTATGTTTCTATCAAAGTAAATATTTTGTAGTAATTAACGTTTTCAGAACTTGGTAAATATTTTTTCTGAATTAAAAGCATTAATTTTTTAAAATTTTAATACTGAAACTTACAATACTGCAGATAGAGGAAGAAAATGAGAGTTCCTCGTGTTTTCTTTTTTATTTCTTTATGTAAATTTATGTAAAGTTTCTATGGTTACCAAAAGAGACCATGTGAGTATAAAAAGACTTTCCATCTCACACCAAAATATAATTAAATATAATTTTAGTTTTATACAACGAAGTAATAAAAACAAAATGTTCTAGAAATTGATCTTTTGTTAGTTCATTTAAAATTAATGTTTGCCGCCTTTACGAACTGGCACCTCACTTCATGGTTTAGCACTGTCCTAACATCACATTTCAATGTATATTAGTGATTATTTACCCTTCAGTTAGTATGTGTGTCCGGGGTCAGCTCCATCATTCATCCTATTAGAATGAAATACGGTACACTGAGACTTTAAAGTATGAAGAACAGCTTTATTTCATCAAAATGCTTTTAATCAAATGTTATACCTTTAATTAATCAAAAATGAGTAAGTTGCACTTCTTACTAATTATTCATTCAGGTGGAAAAAAAGTAAAATCAACTTGT